ACTAAAGTGATGCCCTTGGGAGCCCCCCCCTCCCCCCCCCCCGTCTAGCAGCAATACCTGGGGGGGCAATCGAAAAGTCTCTGCTTATTCCAGCTGATGGCCAATCTCTCTATATTTAAGCCTCTCAGACAGCTAATCTAATCAATATTGCAAGGAGGGCTGCATTAGCAGGGCAGGCTGGCTCTACTAAAGTGATGCCCTTGGGAGCCCCCCCCTCCCCCCCCCCCGTCTAGCAGCAATACCTGGGGGGGCAATCGAAAAGTCTCTGCTTATTCCAGCTGATGGCCAATCTCTCTCTATTTAAGCCTCTCAGACAGCTAATCTAATCAATATTGCAAGGAGGGCTGCATTAGCAGGGAGCAGGCTGGCTGCGCTGATGGAGCGGCAGAGGCGGGGGGGACAGGACACCCCCCCACACACACACACACCCCTCCCCGCCCCAGCCCACCTGAGGAAGCGGTTGAGGTCGCCGTGCTTCATGTACTCGAAGACCATGATGAGGGGTTCGCCCTCGGTGCAGACGCCGTAAAACTTGACGATGTGTTCGTGCTGCAGCACCGTCAGCAGCTCGGCTTCACGTTGGAAATCCAAGCGGGTGCTTTCCGTCACCTCCTTCAGCGCCTGCTGGCACACGGCGTCAGCCCGGCACCGACCCCCACCACCACCACCGCGACGGACCGTCCCCCCCGGCATCGTCCCCCCTCCTCACCTTCACGGCCACCAGCATCTTCTCCTGCTCCGGGAGGAGATTGTAGCACTCGGCCAAGAAAACCTTCCCGAAGGCGCCTTCGCCCAGCTCCCACTTCAGCACGATGTCCCGTCGCTGCACGTGGTGCACGCCTGGGGGGACCCCCACCCGTCAGTGCCCCCCCGGGTCGGGGACGAGTGCATGGGAGGACGCTCGGGGACCGCGGTCCGTCCCCCCCGCCCCAGCCCTTACAGGCGTCACAGAAATACTGGGGGTTCTCGATGAAGTTGCTCTTCAGCCCCTCCAGCTTGCTCTCTGCCGAGGAGAGGGGGCTGCTGCCCAGGTTCATGAAGTGCAGGGACATGGCTGAAATTGCGAACGTCCAGCGACTGCTGCCACACGAAAGGAGCGAGGGCTGCCGGGGGGGGGGGGGGGGGGGGCGCCCCGCGCCCCCCCGCAACCAGTGCAGCCAGTGCCAGGCTCTGCCGAGCATCCCCCCGCCCGGCGGGCCCCCGGGGGCCAGGCAACCCGATCAAACCCATTTAGAGGCTGAATCCATTCCAGGAGTGAATTAGCAGCTGCTGCCCGTGCTGCCGGGGGGGGAGCCGGCTGAGCCGGCACCCCTCCACGGTCCCCGTGCACGGTCCGGTCCCCACAGGGACCGTCACCCCACAGCCGTGTCCCAACCCGGGTACCTGGCACGGGCCCGGCCACCCCGCGGATGCGGGAACCGGGGTGTCCCCGTGCCGCCTCTCGAATCCCCCGCGGCGCCAGGCGAGGCGAGGGGACTCACGGTTAATGCCGAACTTGGACCGGCGCCCGCACTTGTTGAGCACGATGAGCATGACGGAGAGGAAGAGGCAGGCGAACACAGCCAGTGCCACGGCCACCGAGACCTGGCGACGGCAGGGACGGGGCTCAGGTTGGGGTCCCGCCAGGCCCCTTCTCCCAGCCCTCGGTCGGCTGAGATCACCACAAGTCCCAGGAGCTGCCGCAGGGGAAACTGAGGCACCGGGACTCTGCCCTTCATCCCCGTCACATGTCCCCATCCCACTTGGCTCTGGGTTTGGCTGTCCCCTAAGGATTTGTCCCACCCTCCTGTGGGTGTCCTGGTCCCCCCAGCCCAAACCGCGGAGCACCCCCTCACCCCGAACGTGTGCTCGTCCGTCGTCTCCACGGGCCCCTCCAGGGAGCTGTTCCTGGTGCCTGGGGCAGGGAGAAGGGCGCAGGGTGAACGTGGGGGCAGGGGGTCCCCATCCCCTGGGGTGGTCCCGGCAAGCCGGGGGAGGGCCAGGATGGCAACACTCCTGCATTGATGCTGCACCCT